AAAAGTTGGTCTACATATAGAATTATGAAGGAGTTCAATGTTTCCCAACATATGGCCAACCAAGCAAAAGCACTGCAGCAAGAGAAAGGAATAATGTCGGTGCCTGTAAAGAGGTTAAGCAGAGCTTCATTAGGAGAACCAACGATAATGCTTGTTCGTGATTTTTACAATAGTGACGATATAAGTCGTGTTTGGCCGGGGAAAAGAGATTATTTAATATCTAAAAATGATGAAGGCAAAATCTACGTACAAAGAAGATTAGTTTTGTGTAACTTGCAGGAGGCGTACTCCATCTTTAAAAATACATATCCTGATATTAAAATAGGATTTTCCATGTTCGCCAGTAACCGTCCGAAACACTGCATTTTGGCAGGGACATTTCTATTTCGTAAATGCCTAGATGGTGTAATAAATTTAAGAATGAATCAATGCGATGTGATACGATATCGCTTACGAAAGAAATCATAGCAAATTCACGACGTTCTTTTAATGTTTGGATATTTATGAGCATACACCGAGCTGTGTAAGATGGTAGAGGAAATACAGTCCAACCTAACTTGCGGAGTGCATACAATAGAAACTGCTTTTGAACGAACTCTATTCTTTCTTCGTGTGTGATTGAAAAAGGAGACCAAACTATGCTGCAATATTCTAATATCGACCTTACATAAGCAATGTACAATGTTTATCGTATACGGATCGTGAAAGTTATAGCAGAAACGTTTTATGAAACCAAGCATGTTGTTAGCTCAGTAATTGTGTTATAATGATCGGTGAAAGTAAGTTTTGAGTCCAAAATAACACCTAGATCCCTGACTCTATCACACTTTTCTACGATCTGGTTTCCTAAAGTGATTGTTATATCGGGTAGGATTCGTTTTCTACTAATGGTAATTGAGTTACATTTTTTTTATATTTAATTGTAGCAGGCTTTTTTGCCACCAAGTATGGAATATCTGTATTTCCTCTTTGAATGTGATGATGTCTTTGGCATCTTTATGTCCAAAAAAAGTTTAATGTCGTCAGCATAGATTAAAACTTTCAATTTCTTAATAATGAAAGATATGTCATTGACGAAGAGAATAAATAAAAGCGGTCCTAAATGGGAGCCTTGAGGAACTCCAGAAGTGACATCAACGGGATTTGATGTCTTTCCTTTGTATTTTACTATTTAATGGCGGTCAGTTAAATATGATTCAAGCCACTTGAGGAGTGCGTAATGAATTCCCATTTTTTGAAGTTTAAAAAGAAGCATGGGTATGTCAATTCGATTAAACGCTTTGCTGAAATCTGTATACAGCACATCTATATGGTTTCCGTTATCCATTGCATTCAAGGAATAATTAATTAATTCGAGCAAATTCGTAGTTGTTGAACGGCCTTTAAAGAAGCCTTGTTGCATAGTAGTTATTCTGTTTTTAATTTGATGAAACAGTTTTTCATTCACAATCGCCTCGAAAAGTTTCGGAATGCAAGAGATAATAGCTATACCACGATAATTACGTATGTCCGAGGTGAACAATCCTGTGATTCTTCCTGACAACTACCAGTTTTCAACGCTACTGATTCACATGTACCATATCGCCAACGTTGATTCCTCTATGGGAAACTTGTCATTTACCGTTTTTTCATTAAGCTTTCGGTAGTCAATGACAACTCTCACTTTCCTCTTACCAGAAGCGTCGACCTTTTTGGGAACAACCCAAATTGGTGAGGAATATGGGCTGGTAGAGTGTTGAATAATTCCGCTATCTAACATTTCCTTAATTTGGTTTTCCACATCTCCTTTAAAGTGGTGTGGATATCGATAAGATTTTGTGTAAACGGGCTCGTCGTCTTTCGTGGTGATTTGGTGTTTGATAGCCATTGTTGCGGTCAATTTTTCGTCTTTTTTCAAAAGTACATTCTGATGTTTAAGTATGGTCGAGAGTAGTTCTTGCCTTTCCAATTTTGAAAGATGTTCTGTACGTATCAGTTCGTCGATTGTTTGTAGATCATTTACAGCAGATATTGTTTCAAAATTGTTAACATGTAGACCGATTGTCGGTAGCTTGCTTGTAATTTCTTTTTGAGTGGTCATAATATTGATGGTTGATTTCTTATTTTGAGAACTGTATAGGCCTGGTTTGATTATGATCTTGTTATTTAGTTTTTGTGGTATAGGAACGTACCAGTCTCCGTCTTTCGTCGTATCAATAGTAACTGTGTCGTGAAACAATTTTGATGCAGGGTAGTACTTTTCGAAATCTATCTTATTTCCATTGATCAGTACAGTACAAGTATTGAAGTCAATAACTGCATTAGTTGGAGCTAAGTATTCGGAACCAATTATCCCATCGAAAAAGTTATGAAAGTAAATTTCGTAATATGTCTGTTCTGGTAGGTTATGTCCAATTTAACGGTTGTTTTATGTGTTTTTTCGAGACGTGGAATTATTCCAGGTCGCAAAATATTCTTATTTGCCCCTGTGTCTAACAAAAGTTTGATTTCAGTGTTGGTTTTTGTATTTTTGCAAAGGATGTATGGTAGAAAGTTCATGTTTCGGGTTTTTTGCTCGTCGTTTGCCAAAAATTTATAGCTAACTCTGTTTCATCTTCTGAGGCAACAGCATCATTTTCTTCTGGAGGTTCTTCTAATTCGTTGTTGTTGACGAGTTTTTTGTTTAGTGTCAATCTGCTGATGGGTCTACTTCCATCGGTTGAGAATGATTTGTATGTATGGGCTTGATACCCGGTTTGTCGTTACTAGTTTTTGGGCTAAATTGGGAGAAATTAGTTGGTTTTTCTTGCTTATTCGTTGACGGATTAGTGTTCTTGTTATACGTGGTAAAATTCTTCGTTGACATATTGTTAGCAGTAATTTCTTGTGAACGGAATTTACAGAGAAATGCGTAAGCATCCTCAAGGTCTTTGGGGCGCGCTGCCTGAGCGTATCCAAAATACGGCTCTTTCAGTCCAGCTATAAAGGCAGCTAGTGCATCAGCGTCTATAAAATCGCTTATTGCGTCCCAGCATCTTTTGTATTTTTCATTCTGTTTTGATAAAATTTTAATGTTCTGAACTATCTCTTTAGTTCGCTGGTAGTAACGTTGTATTGTTACACCATCGCTCATCGCACAACTGGCTTTTGTACGTAGATAACTCTTGCCTGTCACCTAAAGCAGCTGCAAGAATTTCCTTTATTTCGTCAAATGATTGTGGATTCCCCGCAAGACAAATAATATCTTTTGCCCTGCCTTCAATTTTGTTTACTACTGCGGTGGTGTACACTTCAAATTGTTCGTTGGTAACATAAGGTTTTTGACAGTTGTCCCACAGCTGTCTACAGCAGCAGTCGATTTTTTATTTCGTTGTGAACCACGCGATAGCCTGTTTTCGAGACTTGCTATTATATAGTTGCTCTTTGTTCGTTGCTAGCAGTTCGGTGCCTTTTATTGCTACGGTGCAAGATGTGTGAAGTAAAAAATACCATCAAGTTTAGCTTCAGCCATTGTGATGCTAAACCAAACATCGGAGAGATAGTAAATTTCGCCAAAGCACTCGACGCGGATCCGGCTGAAATGGAAGCTGTTTATCGCATTGGTGAGGAAAGGGGAGTTTTCATGAAGTTCAAATCAGAGGAAGCGATGCTCCATACTCTGACATTCAATTCGGAGGATTTAATCTTCCACTATGCGAATGGAACGACGGCAAAGGTACGCATGTCGCATGCTGGTGAATTCATTCAATATGTGCGTGTGTATGACTTGCCACCAGAGGTACCCGACAACGAGCTGGATAAAGTGCTGGGGAAATATGGGAAAATTAAACGCATCATCCGGGAGAAATTTCCAACTGATCTGTGTTTTGAGGTATATACAGGGATACGCGGTGTATATATGGATGTGAAGAAGGAAATCCCCACGTCATTACATTTCTTCAATCGCAAAGGAAATATTTTTTATGATGGCAACAAAAATAAATGTTTTCTATGCAAGGCGGACGGACACCGGAAGCTTTCCTGTCCCAAGCGGAAGGCTCGGAAGGAACCAGAGAAGCAACTGAAGGAAAAAGGAAAGCAAAGTGAAAGAAAACAAAACAGCAGCAGTACGTATGCTGGTTTAGTGGTGGAAGGTGCGTCGTTTGTCATTAGCGATCAGGAAACGGACACGGGGTTGGAGATGTTGAATGAAGAAAACGAAATGGACGTGACGACCCCGACGACCGACGAGAGTAGCGGAGAGCATGCAACGGGAAACGATGTTCAGAAGCAGCAGCAGCAGCAGCGATCACGATTCGGGTTCAATGAAAATGAGAAACAAATTCGGGAAAGAAAGAAGTTGCGTGCACGGGAGAAGACCGCTTTGTCGCCGCTTCGATCGCCACCAAGAAAAATCATATGATAAAATATGTTTGTATATATATATATACAGCAATTCCATAGAAAAAAGTTATAGTAGGTCTCAGAATTTCATGAGAATTGGTATAGTTCTTCCTTATAAAAAAATATTAGACTCGTGTTTTTTTATTGCGCCATTAGGGTGACCATTTCCGTGTTAGGGTGGTCCAAAAAATCATTTCTTTTTCAAAAATGTCTTTTTTCAAAAATTTATAACTTCTGAACCTCTTGACCGATTTTTACGATTGACCCTTCAAATGAAAGATGTTTTAATGTAGTTTTAAATTATGAAACACTCAGAGATATTTGATTTTGTAGGAAAAAAAATATGTTACAAATGCTTTTTCTTGATTTTCACTGCGAGGGTCTTCAACAACTTCTTATTTTAGTATTTTTAATTGAAAGATCATTTAGTTTTACATAACATATCAATAAATTAGCGATGTCGGAGAAGCACTTTTGGAGATACAATTTTTTTAAATAAAAAATTATTGTTCCGCAATATATGCACCACACGTGCATGGAAACGATGAAGACGCAAGGTAGTTCACAATGCGTCTCCATCGAGTCACAGCAGCTGTGACTAAAGAAATCTATGAGTAGCTTACAAGCAGGGTGCAACATTCAGTTCAACCTGCGGGCCGTCCATAAACCACGTAGACCAAGTTTTAAACATTGCAGATCCTACCTTTCCCTTCGTATACTCAAATTTTAAAGCGTTTCGTTTCAATACTCCTCCCATAGGGCCTTTTCCATGACAAGTTGCGAAAAAATGCCACACGGCAGCAATGCCAATTTTTTTTGCATGTTGCATCAGTACCTAAGAGTCCAAGCTGTACCTCATAGGTATATCACTCGTTCGTAGGCAATGACTTTTACATAAGCTCCAGCCCAATAGGCTTCGCGGTGTTAGTGACATTTGGAAATGTTTGGTGGTGTTTGTATTTATTCGCAATATTCATCTATTTACCTGAAACAGCTGTTTGAAGTGACGTCATTGCTTACGAACAGGTGATATACCTATGAGTTACAGCTTAGACTCGTAGGTATATCACTCACTCGTAGGTACGATATAATGCTTCACATAAAACAACGAATGTTATGAAAGAAATGATCAGTTAGAAATCAAAGTTTCCTACTAGAACAGTTGAATTGAAGAATATCTAAAAATGAAGCGTAAGTGTTCAATGTGTGATGTTTGGATGTTGAGTTCATGTGCCAGAAAAATCACCAATAAATTGTACGATTATGCAGTGGAAAAAAAAGATTAAAATAGATGAGAGTAGCTCCTTCATTTGTCAACGATGCTACCACAAACTATATGAACCCAATGATGCCGTGACCGAAGAAGCCGTTGCAGGACCATCCAGAATCGCTGCTACAGGTACGTTATTTGAAAATTCAAGTGATTCTTCTTTAAATTTCAATTCTTTTCTTCTAACTACTAACTTAAACTCTTCTTTTTTGCAATCATTTTTCAGAGTCCATCGAAGCAACCAGCATTGAATCAATTTCCGTTGCGGGACCGCCCAGAATGGTTCCTTTTCCCTGCCAAGGTAAATAATAAAAAATAAATAATTTGTATTTTTTTTTTTCTAATAATCAATCATTTTTAATATTTATTTTCAGAATCAGTGGAAACAACCAGTTCTGAATCGATCGTTACCACCTACAACGCACCTTTGTCGGACGAAAATGAATTCCTTATACAACTTAAGGATAAATATCAAGAAACAAGAGACAGCAATGAGCGATACAGGATTTTAACCACACTTCCCAAAAGTTGGTCTACATATAGAATTATGAAGGAGTTCAATGTTTCCCAACATATGGCCAACCAAGCAAAAGCACTGCAGCAAGAGAAAGGAATAATGTCGGTGCCTGTAAAGAGGTTAAGCAGAGCTTCATTAGGAGAACCAACGATAATGCTTGTTCGTGATTTTTACAATAGTGACGATATAAGTCGTGTTTGGCCGGGGAAAAGAGATTATTTAATATCTAAAAATGATGAAGGCAAAATCTACGTACAAAGAAGATTAGTTTTGTGTAACTTGCAGGAGGCGTACTCCATCTTTAAAAATACATATCCTGATATTAAAATAGGATTTTCCATGTTCGCCAGTAACCGTCCGAAACACTGCATTTTGGCAGGGACAAGTGGCACGCATACCGTATGCGTTTGTATATATCATCAGAATGTTAAACTTATTTTTAAAACACTACAAAGCAGACAATCACTCCCAGATGGTGTTGATTCCTATCACGATTTGTTTAAAAAAATAATTTGTCAAAATCCAAGTGAACAATGCTGGCTGCAGTGTTGCAAAATTTGTTCAGGAACGCAAATTTTGGCCACAGAACTAATGACTATTCTTAGTAACGGACATGTTGAATCAATACAATTCAAACAATGGCGTCAAGTAGAGAGATGCATTATGGACTTAGTTGAAATGGACACACAGGAATTTATTGATACTTTTTTAGAAAAAATATTCAATTTATTGCCGCATAACTTTATAGCTGAGCAACAGGCAAATTACATGAAACACGTCAAAAGCAATTTGAAAGCTACAGAATGCATCATAATCGGTGATTTTTCGGAGAATTATTCTTTCGTTGTGCAGGATGCAGTTCAAGGCTTTCATTGGGCGAACGCCCAATGTACTATTCACCCTTGTGCTATTTATTTTAAAGACGAAGAATCTAACGATTTGAAATTTACTAGTTTTATTGCAATTGCTGATTTCACTAAACATAATCATATCGCAGTTCGTTTATTTCTTACGCATTGTCTAGCGTTCATAAAATGTAAATTGCCAAGCTTACAACAGATTTACTTTTTCTCAGATGGATCAGGAAGCCAATACAAAAATAAGATGACCGCTTTTAATTTATGCTACATGCAAAAAGATTTTGGCATTGCCGCCGAGTGGAATTTTTTCGCAACTTGTCATGGAAAGGGCCCTTGTGATGCTTTGGGAGGAGTATTAAAACGAAACGCTGCGAAAGCGAGTTTGCAAGGCCACCATATAACAACGGCCCAAGAACTTTACTCATGGGCTATTTCTAAGCCAGATTCAAAAATACACTATCAGTTTTTTTCGGAATCCGATTACAATAAAATGGAAAGAAAATTGAAAAACCGTTATATACATGTGAACCAAATTTCGGGGACACAGTCATTCCATAGTTTTAAGCCTCAAAACGAAAAGTATATTATTGTCAAACGGTATTCATTTTCAACGGAAGAAAAATGTGTGAAATTGTAATTAAAGAAAATAAATGCTTCATGTTTTACTTATTTTTCTTCGACCTCGTCATTATTTGTAGCATTTAAGTACTTCTCCCAGAATTTTGATACCAAAATTAATAATGTCAAACTGGGGCCTGTTTTAAAGCCACGAAGACTTCAATGGAGGAAGGAGTCCAGCCAGAGTATACGCTCGGTAAAAATATTTTAAAATTTTAGTAAAGTATACGAGGGGGGAGGTAGGATCTGCAATGTTTAAAAATTGGTCTACGTGGTTTATGGACAGCCTCCAGGGCTGAACTGAATGTTGCACACAGCTTGTAAGTTACTCATAGATTTCATTAGTCACAGCTGCTGTGACTCGATGTAGACGCATTGTGAACTACCTTGCGTCTTCATCGTTTCCATGCACGTGTGGTGCATATATTGCGGAACAATAATTTTTTATTTAAAAAAAATGTATCTCCAAAACTGCTTCTCCGACATCGCTAATTTTTTGATATGTTATGTAAAACTAAATGATCTTTCAATTAAAAATACTAAAATAAGAAGATCCTCGCAGTGAAAATCAAGAAAAAGCATTTGTAAAATATATTTTTTTCCTACAAAATCAAATATCTCTGAGTGTTTCATAATTTTTCTTAAAACTACATTAAAACATCTTTCATTTGAAGGGTCAATCGTAAAAATCGG